TAATGTGCATGTCAATAAGTTTAATTGTATATAACTTATCGGTTTAATGATTGAGTTCAAGAGTGTCTTTTCTCAAGTATGACATATAGATAGGGGGAGTTAAGGTTAACTTCGTCATCATTTGATTGTTATCATCAAAAAGGGGGAGATTGTTGAATCTTAGATTTTGATGATAAAATCAATTGGTAAATTATTTATTCCAATCTATATGTTGAGAAATGTGTATAGGATTAACTACGATAGCAATCAAGGCATAAAGCAAAATGAAATGCCAAAGTCAAGATCGAGATTTCGTTGGGAGTTCGAGAGTTCGTCGGGAGTTCGGAGGTTCGTCGGAAATGCTACCGGAATTGACCGAGAAGAAACTCGTCGGAACTCGCCAAGAAAATCATCATGAAGTCCAGGAGCTTACCGGGAGTCCGCTGGAAGATTACTGAGAGATCATCGGAAGTCTGCCAGAAGATTGTCGGAAGCTCGTCGGAAGAAACCTAGACTTACCGGGCTTGTTTTATTTATTGTATGCCTTAAAAATCGTAGTTGGCTCATAATTAGGGTTATTTTAGGAAGGTAATCTCATTAACCTTGTTAAGGGCTAATTGGTCCCGTAATTGGATTGGTTTGGGCCGGATTCAAGGCCCAAACAAGTTGTTGAACATTGTCAGGCGGTGGCATTGCCCAGGGTGGGCAGTGGAACCACCTGAGGCTCAACCTCCCAGGTGGTCTGGGTAGTGGTACTGCCTAGACTGAGCGGTGGTACTATCAGAGCCCAATCTCCAAGACTCTGTCAAGCGGTAGTACTGCCAGACTAGGCAGTGGTACCACCTAGTGGCATGCTGTCAAGCGGTGGTACCGCCTAGTGTTAGTGCTACAGGTGGTGGTATTGCCCAGCACAGGCGATGGTACCACCAATACCCCGAAAACTTGAGATGAGACACTTTTTGGCTCCAATTTTGAAGCCATTAGGGCCTATAAATATCTCATCCTTTTCTGTATGAAAGGGTAACAAAGTATAATCAAAGTGTGGAAAAATCTTTACATGTTTGGGTGTAAAAGTATTGTAAAAGTGCAAAGAGTCCTCCTCCTCTCTCTCTTTAGCTTTGTAATCATCCTGAGGCTTGTAAGGGTTATCTCCTAAACCCATGAAAAGGAGAAAACGATATAAATAGGTGGTTGGTCTTTGCCTATTGAAGGAAGACTATTAGTGGATGTCGGTGACCTCAACGGAGGAGGAATCGGAAGTGTAAGTCACAATGACCGAACCATTTATTAAATTTTTCAACGAGAGATCCTAAGAAATTAATAAATCTATTTATGTCATTTTGAATCTCTTCAAAGTGATTTTGATGATTTTGATTTTGATTTTAAATGAGTTTTTACCTATATCATGATTTTGATTCCTCGGAATTATAATTTGAAATCTTTTATGAATCAAGATCGCTTATTATGTGTTCTCGTATTATTTAAGAAGAGATTTTTTATGATTCATGATTTTTTGAATTATCACTTGAGATTTTTTCTTTAATATATAAATCATAATCTCGACAACTTAAGACTTTTTATGCATGAATCGAGATATTCTATTTGTTTCTCTGATGATTCTTTTTACTTTTTATACAAAAGAGGAGTTTTATCCAAATCATAATATGATTCTTCTTTTCGCTATTTGATTTATCCAAAAGAATCATAATTTATCTTTTCGATATTTATAATTTAAAAATTGGTTCATGATTCCGTTGTATTCATGAAGTATATATCTCATTACCCAATTAATTTTTCTTGATATTCTTCATGTGATGATATAAAATTACGTACGAAATACTCATGATATTATGTTGATGCTTACAAATGAGAAATTATGATCATGCATGGAAGGATGTAATGTAATTTGACATTTTGATACCATCATGATTTGAAATATTTATGATTTGGAATGATGCATGCAATACTCATGATTTTTTTTTTATGAAACAATGTGAAAGTCAACAACTATCATTTTCTGAAATGATACCTTATTTTAATATGCCATATTGAAATAAGATTGATACTTTATCTTTGTCATGTTTTGAAAATTGATGTAAAGGGAAAAGAATTACAACATTATATTCTTCCCTTCTTTTTTGCAATGCAAAGGGGGAGAAAAATTGTCAGCTTGTACATTTCAAAGGGAAGCAAAGAACTTGCTAGCTTACACATTTTAAGAATAATAAAAATTACTAGCTTGCACTTCTCAAAAGAGAAGAAAAAACTTGCTATCTTGAACATCACCAAGAATAGCTAGCTTGCATGTTCTAAAACGATGTAAAACTTGTTATCTTACCGGCTTGCATAATTAAACATTTGCTAGCTATACCTTTCTCCTTTTTATTGATGATAAAGAGGGAGATGGTACGATGATCATTTGAGTTATAATGCACTTTAATGTTTTGAAATTTGATGCTTCGAAATTATGTCTCTAAAACTTGATAGTTGCACTTCTCCTTTTTATTGATGACAAAGGGGGAGAAATTATGATGATCATGCATTGAATGATGTATTGAAATTTGGATTATGCATGATTTTATGATGACATGTTGCTTGGACTTATAATTCTTTAAATTCAAAGTTTCTATCAATATGGCATATTGATAGGGCGAGTTAAGGTTAACTCCATCATCAATTGGTTGTTATCATCAAAAAGGGGGAGATTGTTGAATCTCGAATTTTAATGATGAAACCAATTGATAATGTTATGATTTAATCTATGTTTTGAGTGATGTCGGACTAGCTTCGATCAGGAGAGGCAATTGATTAAAGCAAGAGGAATTGGATGTTGGGTCGGAGTTGAACATATCAGAAGATTCGATGTTGGGTCGGAGGATCAGTCGACGTGTCGGTAGAAGATTTCATACCATGAATTCGGGCATCGAGTCGAAGGATCGAATATTGCGCTAAGGAGATCGGAAGTTGCGGGAGTCAAAATGTCAATTGGGCAATACGCCAAAGGAGAGGACGATATGCCAAAGGGTCGGATAAAGCGTTGGATGAACCAATGATATGCCGGACAATGAATAATGTGTGCTTCATAATAATTTGTCTAGATCAAATTAGTTTAGGTCGTAATTGGGTTAGTTTAGAATTTAATTAAGCCAACTCAATTAGGGGTCAATTGAGCCTGAATTGGGGCTGTTTTGGGCTAAGAGAAAGGACCATTCAGTGACCCGAAGCCACATCAAGCGGTGGCACCATTGGAGTTGGCAGTGGAACCGCTTGAGGATCAACCTCCCAAGTAGTCTAAGTGGTGGTATCGTTAGCCATAAATGGCTGTCAGGTTGTGGTACCGCTAGACTGGGCAGTGGTACCGCCCAGTGTTAGTGCTGCAAGCAGTGGTACTACCAATACCCTAAAAATCGAGGATAAGACACTTTTAAGCTCCAAGTTTGAATCCATTTAGGGCCTATAGATATCCCTCTCATCCCTACTTATAACACATAAGAACTTAGAGCAAAAGGAAAGAAAAACGCTGTAGTAATCTTATGAGAACTCCTCTCAAGCTCTAAGTATTGGTAAAGTTTAAAAGAGAAGGTAGTGGGGGTGTAAAGGTTATCTCCTAAACCTGTCAAAAGAAGAATCGAGTTACATGGGTACTTGATCTTCGCCCATTGAAAGATGATTAGTAGTGGAAGCCGGTGACCTCGAGTGAAGAGGAATCGGGAGTGGATGTAGGTCACGATAACCACTATAAAACTTGGTTTGCATTTCTACTCTTGCTATTTACCTTTACTGCAAACTGCCTTACTTGCTTACTACTTTCACTAGGCTTATGAACGAGCTTTCGAGTTAAACTCATCTTTCCGACTTCAGTTTTTTGATCGTATGAAGATTTTCAAATCGAAGTTTTCTACGTACACAATAATCTGGCTTAATAAGGATTATATTTTTTTGTCTAAACTCATCCTTCAATTTCACTTATGTATCTCAACATTTTTTTTTGTATAACAGTCATCTTTAATTTATATTTTATTTAATTTTATATTACTTTATTATATCTAAATAGCTATATTTTTTTGTCTAAACTCATCCTTCAATTTTATCTATGTATCTCAACATTTTTTTTTTTTTTTTTTTGTATAACAGTCCTCTTTGATTTGTATTTTTATTTAATTTTTTATTATTTTATTATATCTAAATAGTTTATTATCCTCCACATACATGATATTTAACCTCAAACTTCCCTACTTTAATTATGGTTCAACTCGTTCTAAGTCTTGAGATTCACTTGATCAATTAAAATTCAATTGTTATTTTCAATCACTATATGTATACTTATTATCATCTCAAACTTCCCTACTTTAATTATAAGTTCAACTCGTTCTAAGAATTATGCCTTCTTGCTAAAAATATACTTAAAGTAAACATTGATACTTATGCATGCTCAATTAAAATTTTATAAAATATTATAAATAATATATTTTGAAAAGCTTGTACTTAAACTTTAAAAGTAAAAAAATATGAATATATCATTTATCATATTTATAAAGTATATATATAAAAAATCACATTAGTATATATATATATATATATATATATATATATATATATTCTACTAATAGTTGTAATTCAACATATGAGACTCCAATACTATAACTATATGCTTAAAATAGGAGAGAAAATAATTTTGGATTAAAAGAATTTTTTTTATAAAATAAGCATTATGACAGCAAATTACTTTTTCACTGATATGAATGTATGAGTTTAATAAAAAAAAATTCATAGATAATTAGGTATAATCTTAATAGATGATAAAAATGATATGAATATATAAATCCACAACTCATATAAACAAACGAGACAGTTAATGTTAATAATGCAAGGAAAGGTAAAATAATACCTAAAAAATTATTATTGGATGATGTAGATAAAATATTTAGATGCTCTTAATTTAATTAAGATAAAAGATCCATATAATTTGCACATCTTCAATGCAAAAGGAAATTTGCTGATGTGAAATGGTTGTGCGGATGAATCGTCAAAATAAACACTGCTTGCATCTTAGAAAGTATTAAGAGGAGATTTACGTGCCTCATGACTGAAGAAGGGAAAATTATCCACAACAAAACCAAAGCTCTGTATCAACTACTCCAAAGTCCAAAAAGAAGATGTACAAAGAGTGCTTCATGAGATATTTCTTGAGGTTTCATGAGATATTTCTTGAGGTTTCACCCGACACTTTTTGATGCAGCAGACACAAGCAGACCATTGTGGAGAAGGTGAGTAGGCAGAGGAGCTTTGCAATTAGCAATGTGAGACTTCAGCCTTGGGATATTAGGATGTGCACTGCGACACCTGTGGCAGCGCAACTCCATTTTCAGCAAGCTCTCATCTTCGATAACTGTTGCCACTCCATGCTTTTCGATTTCCTTGATTGCGTCAGCAGAATCACGAAAGAACAAGGTGTTGAAAGAGTTCCAGTGTTTCTTGTTCTTCAAGTGTGCCGAATCAAAATCTTGGCTTATGACATGAAGATGCAGTTGTCGCATTGATGGAACCTTGATGACAATCACATCAAACCAGAATCAGATTAAATAAGTAGATATAATGAGAAATTTGACGATAATGATGAACTTACTGAATGATATCCAAGTCTAAATATCAAAGAAGAATCCTCGCATAAGAACATCTTGGCCCATTTTAGCCCTGCAGAATGCATTCGCTTCAATAACGGAAGGTGTTCCTTGTGGACATCCACAAGACAATCAAGGCCGTGCAATCTCGACAGGACCAGAACATGTTTTGTCGCCTGCACAGTAATTGTGGCTAAAGAAAATGGACAGTGAATGACAAAACAAATATTGATTTTCAAACCTTGGGATACAGGTCATTTAAAACAACAAAGTCATCTGACATCTCCATCACAACATCCTTGTGTTTCTCAGGGTTCAATGCAATTACATGAAGTGCTTGGGCCCAAGCATTCCATGTCCTTTTTGAAACTTCAGCACAATTTTTTTCCTTCACCTCAAGACCTGGGTTGGAACTGCTCGTCAAGTTGCTAGAATTTTCATCCCAATTCAATACATCAGAATGAGTTTCAGAATGTGCATATCCATGACCGCCATGTGGAGTGCTGATTTTCTCCTTTGCAGCAGCATTGAAGGGAAAGCCTTTGCATTTTTTGTTTCTCTCTGAATCATACCAGCCCTCTAGCTTGATCTTTTGATCACTATGTGAGAAACAAGTGCCAGTTGTTCCTTTCAAGGGATTCTGTGAATTAGAAATACCACTTGAACTTCTTTTGCTTTCATTCCTCATTTGACACTTGAAGATGGAAGCAAAGTTTTCAAAAAGCGATGAGTAAGCATCACGAAGAATCTTGCAACCTTCAACATAGTCATTCTTTAGATAATTTGGTCTCTGCAGGTTCATGTTTGGTCCAAGAACATGAATAACATGAGTCACCCCTTCTCGTAAGTGGAGAGGTGAAGACGAAGGAAGAGGGACAACAACAGAATTCCCAGGACTAAGAGTTTCTGCTCGTTCCTTTGTTGCAATTTCAAGTGAATCACCTGCTGCTCTATATATTGCTGCATTGACACCTCCACCTCCTGGTTTCAGCCGCCTGCATGAAGCACCACTCTGAAATATAAACATTCCTGGTGCCTGAGCAGATTATGTTGCAAAAATTTTCATTTATGATCTTCAAAGGCAATGCAAAACGTGAAACTACGGTTTACCGTACCATGACATACCGCCCTATCACGAACGATCGTCGTGCACTCGCAACAACTTCGTTCAATGAACCATTCGTCGCTTTTGCATGCTTGAACATAGATATGGCAGCTTGTTTTGCCTTAGTTTTGTGTGTTTTACTTGTAAAAATACATGTTCAAACAGGTTGCAGCGCACAGTGCGACCGCTCACCGCGCCGAGCCAAAAAGCCCCAAAATGGCTCCGTTTTCGCGTGTCGCAGGCTGTTTTCTGCAGCCCGCTACAGCGCGCAAAACGTCAGCCATCTCAGCACCCTGGAACCCCCCGGGTGGCACAGGGCTGGATGGGGCTTCGATATATTGTTAGGCATTGAAAAATCTTCACAAGTTCGCACGTTGACTTGACGGAAACTTGCCTTCGCGCCCGGCACCCGGTGAGCAGTTGTTTATGGACTTGCAACTATTCGTTCTACCTTCTAAAGTCCTTGTTTTCCTCCTTCCTCTCTTTCTCCTGTGCACACAAGATGCTTGTTGAATTACTTGTAAAGCTTCCCTCTTTGCGAGACGTCGGGACTTGTCTGTCGCTCATTTTCAATCTAATCAACTTTCTATTTTACAGGTCCTTCGGGACCTGTACGAGGTTGCAACTAGGCTGAACCTTTGCGGACGCATATGTCGCAAGGACGCCTCAAGACTTAGGCAATCCCAGCTACGTCCGAGAAGTTGGCGCAAGAGTGCGTTGCGACTTAGGCAACTTAAGCTAAGTTCGCGTGTTGGCCGCAAAAGTGCCTCACGACTTCGGCAATTCCAGCTAAGTCCGTGACATTGTGGTATCAGAGCGAGTAAGCAATTCGAGCAAGCAGCGAAGGAACTTCGCAATCTTGCCATGGCCAAGCATCGTGGCGAATCGAGCAAGGCGGGGCAAGCCGGACCTTTGCCCCAAGCAACCGCAGGTGGGCTACAAGTGCAAACTCGCTCTCATGTTGTTGGAGCCGCTTTGGAGGATCGTGGCAGCGAACATGATGAGCGAGAAATTGGCTACTCTCCGCGAGCGGAGGAGGCGCAATCTGGAGCGCCAACCGGGAAGAGGAGTCATAAGGAGAGACTCACAGCAGCGTAAACCCGCTTGGATGTTCTTGAAGTGAGCTTGGAGGAACTCTACCAAGGCCAGCGAAGGCTTCTTGGGGTAGAGAGCTCACAAGAAAAAGCCAAATCCCGAATCGACAAGGTTGAGGCCCTAGTCGATCGACTGACGGATGATACTAAAGACTCCGTACAACATTTGCACGAAGTCGTGGCGGAACTCACTTCTAAAGTGAAAGCACTCACAAGGGCACTAAATGCGAGAGGGAGCAACACCCGCGTTGCACCGCCACAAAACCTGAGGGCACCTGAGCCTCGTTGCTATGGAGGTGCTAGGGATGCAAAAGAGCTCGAGAATTTCTTATTTGACATGGAACAGTACTTTCGAGCTATAGGCATGATTCTGAAGATACCAAAGTTTCAATAGCAACCATGTATCTGAACGGGGATGCAAAACTTTGGTGGCGAACCCGATGGAAGGAGATCCAACAAGGTCGATGTCGGGTGGACACATGGGAGGATTTAAAGCGGGAGTTGAGAACTCAATTTCTACCTAAGAGCACAGAGTTCGTCACAAGCAGAAAACTAAGACAACTCCACCAAAGTACTTCCATTCGAGACTATGTGAACCAATTTTCTGCACTAATGCTGGACATACAGGACATGTCCGAGAAGGATAAACTGTTCAGCTTCCTCGATGGTTTGAAGTCATGGGCTCAGCAAGAACTACATCGAAGGAACGTCACCGATGTGATCGGGGCAATTGTTACTGCAGAAAGGTTCACCGACTTTGTTTCCTCTGAGGACTCGGGAAAAAGGAAACAATCTTCAGGAAATCGCCCTCCAAAATATTCTCGAGGGAAGGATTCCGGGGGTGAACAAAGGAAGAAGAGTTCCCACAAAGAGCCAAGCTCAAAAGCTAAGGCCCCGATGAATGGCGAATGCTTCTTGTGCGGAGGGCCGCACATGGTGAGGGAGTGCCCACAGAAACAGGCACTCAATGCTTTAACAGCTTCCATCCATCCCCCCAAATCAAACAAGGGCAAAGTCGTCGCCCTTGGTTCAAGCAGTTCAGAATCTAGCAGTGACGATGAGGAGTCGCAGGGTCCCCAAATAGGAGCAATGCGTTTGTTAAATGCATTACGGGGTCAAGTGGGGGAGAACAATAAGGCAAAGTCATTGAAAGCAGGAAGTAGCGAGCTGATGTACGTGGACATTAAGCTCGATGGCCAAACAACCCATGCAATGGTGGACACGGGAGCTACCCAAAATTTTATTACCGATCGAGAAGCAAAGCGACTTGGGCTGATCTTGGAGAAGAACCCAAGTCGAATGAAGGCGGTGAACTCGGAGGCTAAGCGAATCTCCGGGTTGGCAAAGGGAGTTCCCATCAAGATCGGAACATGGAGCAGGAGCACAAACATGATGGCGGTGCCACTGGACGGCTTCCAAGTGATTCTTGGAATATAATTCATGCAATTGGCGAAGTTGGTGCCAATGTCCTTCCTAAACTCCCTATGTATGATGGGAGGTGACAACCCCTGTGTGGTTCCCGTTTCTCAAAGAGGAACCAGGGAACCCCAACAGATATCGGCATTACAATTGAAGAATGGGGTACGAAAAAGCGAATTAACATTCGTGGCTGCTATGAAGCTAGAGCCACTCGACCAGAAGGCCATTCATGAACCTGTTGTGGTGGCGAACGTCCTGAAGGAGTTCACAGATGTTATGACACCCGAGTTGCCGAAGACTCTACCGCCATGCAAAGGCGTGGATCATCACATCGAGCTGGAGCCAGGAGTGAAGCCTCCAGCGAGACCACCATACTGCCTGCCCCCTCCTGAGTTGGCAGAACTCAGAAAGCAGTTAGATGAACTGTTAAGCGGTGGTCTTATATGCAGTTCTAAAGCACCATTCGGAGTTCCAATTCTCTTCCAAAATAAATAATATGAGAGCCTTCGATTATCGAGCACTCAACAAAGTGACGGTGAAGAACAAGTATCCAATCCCGCTCATCGCGGACTTGTTCGACCAATTGGGCAAGGCCAAGTATTTCTCCAAACTCGACATCCGGTCGGGATACTGGCAGGTACGCATTGCTGAAGGCGACGAAGCGAAGACTACCTACGTGACCAGGTATGGAGCGTTTGAGTTCTTGGTGATGCCTTTTGGCTTAACCAACGCTCCGGCCACGTTCTGCACTCTTATGAACCAACTATTCAAAGAGTATTTGGATAAGTTTGTGGTCGTCTACTTGGACGATATCGTCGTCTACAGCCAAACGCTCGAGGAGCATGTGGAGCACCTTCGGACCATTTTCAAGGTTCTCAAGGAGAACACTTTGTTCGTGAAAAGGGAGAAGTGCCACTTTGCTCAAACAGAGATCTTATTCTTGGGGCATTGAATCGGTGATGGCTCCATTCGGATGGACAAGTCGAAGGTACAAGCTGTTGCGAAATGGCGAACTCCAAAGAAGGTGCCAAAGTTGAGATCCTTCCTTGGTTTCGTCAACTACTATCGACGCTTCATAGCGGGATATTCGAAACGTGCAACTCCACTGACGGAGTTGCTGAAGGAGCAGTCTTGGGGGTGGTCTGATAAATGTAAAGCCGCGTTCCAAGATCTGAAGGCTGCTGTGTTGGAAGAACTAGTGCTCAAATTGCCGGACTATGGGGAGCCCTTTGAAGTCCATACAGATGCTTCAGACTTCGCTATTGGGGGAGTGCTCATGCAGGAGGGTCATTGGGTGGCCTACGAGAGCCGCAAGCTCATTGAGACCGAGTGGCGGTATCCGGTGCACGAGAAGGAGATGACAACAGTGGTCCACTGTCTACGAGTTTGACAGCACTACCTTCTTGGATCGCGATTTGTACTGAGGACAGACAACATCGCATTGAGCTATTTCCAAACTCAGAAGAAACTCTCCCCAAAGCAAGCACGATGGCAGGACTTCCTAACTGAGTTTGATATGGCAATGGAGTACAAACCCGGAAAAGCAAATGTCATGGTCGATGCATTGAGTCGGAAAGTGGAGCGTGTGAATGCTGTACAATTGGAGGGCAGAGGCCACGCAAGTCAGTTGCACTCTAACTTCCTTTCCAGGATCAAGGATGAACTGTACAGTGATCACCAGGCAGTAACCCTGATGCAGCTCAACAAAGAAGGCAAGGCACGACGATTTTAGGTCCAAGAGGGACTCGTTTACACAAAAGGGAATAGGGTTTATATCCCTCGAGTGGACAATTTGAGGCGTGAGCTCTTAAGAAAGTGTCACGATTCCCTTTGAGCTGGACATCCGGGCATTCACAGAACCTTAGCTCTCGTGGAGAGGGCCTTCTACTGGCCGAAGATGGGAACTGATGTGGAGAAATATGTTCGAACGTGCCTCACTTGCCAACAAGACAAGGTGGAGCAGCGGAAGCCGGTGGGACTTTTGGAGCCATTGCCCGTACCAGAAAGGCCGTGGGAGAGCATTTCCTTGGACTTCATATCAAGCTTGCCGACAGTAGGGGGACTCAGATCGATACTCGTGGTGGTCAATCGATTTTCGAAGTATGCAACTTTTATTACTGCACCCCTACACTGTTCAGCAGAGGAGGCGACCAAGCTGATGATGAAGAATGTGGTGAAGTTTTGGGGAGTCCCGCACAATATCATCAGTGATCGAGACGCTCGATTCTTGGGACGATTCTGGATCGAGCTATTCAAAATGTTGGGGTCTAAGTTATACTTCTCCACAAGCCTCCACCCCCAAACGGATGGCCAAACTGAAAGGATAAACTCGCTCCTGGAGCAATATCTTCGGCACTACGTGAGTGCCAACCAACGAGATTGGGTGAAGCTATTGGACATAGCCCAATTCTCCTACAATTTGCAGCAGAACTTTGCGTCCAACAAGAGCCCCTTCGAGATCATTATAAGACAACAACCATCGACTCCTCACACCTTGGCTATTGGATACACTGAAAGTAATCCGTCAGTATATCACTTTGCAAAAGAATGGCACCAAAATGCAAATATTGCGCGGGCTTACTTGGAGAAGGCAGCCAAAAAAATGAAGTGGGCCGACTTGGGAAGGCGACCACAAGAGTTCAAAGTCGGCGATTTGGTGTTGGTGAAGCTCCAACCAGCATCACTCCAATTCTTTAGGAACAAAGTACACAAAGGATTGGTGCGCAAGTATAAAGGGCCCTTCCCAATTATCAATAGGGTGAGCAATGTCTCCTACAGGTTGCAACTACCGGCATGGCTCAAAATTCACAATGTTTTTCACACCAGCAACTTGAAAGCCTACCACTCAGATCCGCAAGATGCTTCCCGAAGTGTTCCAACTCGGCTACCCCTCACCAGAGCCTCCTACGAGAAGCGAGTTGAAACCATTCTGGCGGATTGCAAGATAAAGCTACCCAATGGAGCTGAGCAGACCGAGTACTTGGTGAAATGACAAAAGCTTCCCCGAACTGAAGCCAATTGGGAACCCGAAGACACCCTACGACATGAAGAAGCAATAATCAACAACTACCAACAAGCATCAACGAGGGCATCGACAGTTTAAGTGGGGGAGAATGTCACGAACGGTCGTCGCGCACTCGCAACAACTTCGTTCAACGAACCGTTCGTCGCTATTGCATGCTTGAACAGAGATATGGCAGCTTGTTTTGCATTAGTTTTGTGTGTTTTTGTTTGTAAAAATACATGTTCGAACAGGTTGCAACGCATAGTGCGACCGCTCACCGCGCCGGGCCAAAAAGCCTCAAAATGGCTCCGTTTTCACGTGCCGCGGGTTGTTTTCTGCAGCCCGCTGCAGTGCGCAAAACGTCAGCCATCTCAGCACCCTGGAACCCCCCGGGTGGCACAGGGCTGGATGGGGCTTCGGTATATTGTCGAGCGTTGAAAAATCTTCACAAGTTCGCACGTTGACTTGACGGGAACTTGTCTTCGCGCCCGGCACCCGGTGAGCAATTGTTTATGGACTTGCAACTGTTCGTTCTACCTTCTAAAGTCCTTGTTTTCCTCTTTCCTCTCTTTTCTCCTGTGCACACAAGGTGCTTGCTGAATTGCTTGTAAAGCTTCCCTCTTTGCGAGACGTCGAGACTTGTCCGTCGCTCGTTTTCAATCTAATCAACTTTCTGTTTTACAAGTCCTTCGGGACCTGAATGAGGTTGCAACTAGGCTAAACCTTTGCGAACGCATATGTCGCAAGGACGCCTCAAGACTTAGGCAATCCCAACTAAGTCCGAGAAGTTGGCGCAAGGGTGCATTACGACTTAGGCAACTCAAGCTAAGTTCGCGTCTGGGCCGCAAGGGTGCCTCACGACTTAGGCAATTCCAGCTAAATCCGTGACAGCCCGGTATGAGCGGTACATACTAGTCCGATAAGAGACCAGTATGGGTGGTACATATCGGTTTGTCGATATGCCTCACAATAACATGTGTCAATGCATCAGTACAATTGAGCACGTACCATACCAATGGCCAGTTGGTACACCGGTATGGACCAATAAGGCAAACCATGCATGAAACCATACAACATGAACTAATATGCAGATATAGCACTCAGAAAGTAGACGGCCATTGAAATAAGCAGCATAAACTAATTTGTTCATCAAGATCAATATAAGACCTAAGATGGCCAACAAAAATTTAAATTCTAGAGTTTACACCAGACAGATCTTATTGAATCCTAACTATAAATTCAACTCTTTGGGTAGCACCTACTATAGCATATTTACATGATATTAGGACACCCACAGCATAAAGTCTAGTGAATGCCTAAAGTTAATAGACAATCTAACACAATTATGCCTTTATAGATTGACAAGGTGCATACTTAGTAGGTCAAATGTACATATACAAGCTAGAATTCTTGAAGAACCTTTTGAAGCCAACAAATAATTCATTTTACACGAGTGCTAAACTAGGTCCATGTTGTCTTGGGTGGTAATATTGAGGGATATCCTATCCTGAGTAGTGAATAAGCATACAAATGTATGCATAGCCATATTGGCCTATTATTTAAGTTTAATAGGGGCTGGCTTTTGTTATGGCAATAGTTTGTGGTGGTTCATCTATTATGATGGCCGGGTGTGGGACTTGGGGATGGGGGGCAACAATAGCAAACTTCACAATCACTTCTTCAAGCAGCAACTCATTGCAAGCTTTCTGATAGGCACTTTATTATTCTCATTTCTACTGTGCTTTTTTCACCATCTTGAGCCTTCTCTATGTTGCAGCAATTTGGATGATCAGCAATGAACCCGTCATCAGGTTCTGCAAAGTATTAAAGCACACATCATTTACTAAACATCTTGGCCAAGACGTTACCAATGTAACTACATCAACAATTGGTGTTTTATTATTCAACATTGAGCTCTATATCATAGAACATTATCTTAAAATTGCATTTCACATACTTGTTTTCATTCAAATGATTAACACACTGGCAACGTCCAAGCCTTTGCTTGAGAATATATAGTACATCATTTAATACATCCTTGCTACCAACTAAAGAAACTATACCCAGTTTCAATATTTCTGATATTACATGTTCATCTTTAACCAATGTGGACAAGTGGGTCCATTTCCAACTGTGGAGTACAGACACAGTTTTGGAAATCACCTAGTAGGTAATAACAATTTATAAGTTCTATTTAATTCTCCATACAGAAAACAAATTTTATTCCCCGATAATTTACAATAATGAATGGAATGAAACCAAGTTACCCACCACATCTTTTCCACACGTTATACACAAAATAATTATTTAAACAAGGCATTCCAGAAGTCATGTTCCAAAAGAGTTCAAGTAAATAGGATGATCTTCAATCAGAGTATCAAAATAAAATCTTACCAGTTGGTAGCATTGGCTATGACATTACACCTGAAGTTTCCTTTTGTGTACAGCTGTGTAATGTCTCCAACAAACGTGAAAAACTTATTAGATTCGATATTCTTCTTTGCTGCCTTTTTCCTGACCAAGGATAAAATCTTTGACTTATCACTCAGGTCCACTAGAACAAGCCTGACACTGTCAAACTTATTCAAGAAATCAGAAACACTATCTACTATGATGTCGGATGCCTTCTCAAGGTCAAATTGAAAATCAGATGTCGAAATAGATGGAAAAGCCAGAGTATGAACATCATTACAGGAACTACGACCGACAAAAGATCTCTCTGAAGAGTTTTCATCATTCAAACTTCCCTGATCCTCATTTTTGTTTTCAAGTTCAGCAGTGAAGGTATTGCCTATAGAATCTTGTCTTGGAACATTTGCCTGAGTTAAATTTTGATCAGATGTTATATCCTTGCCAGCATCTTGATCTTGTTTATCTACTTTCTTTAGAAATCTCATTATTCCAAGCTGGACTTTGTCATCCTTATTCTTCTGTCCAAATACTCCAGCTGAAAGGTTGCCCGATGGACCAAGATTGTTGTATGCTTTAACAGCTTCTTTGACATCATTTTCACTGTGACAGAATGTTATCCGAGAGAATCCTTCACTTAATTTTGGTAACTCTTTCTTTTGTAGCATGCGGTTAACAACTGCAGCAGCTTTCCCACCTTGTAGTTTCCCCTCATGCCCAGTCCGCTTTACTGACCGAGAAATACACAATCGAGCAGGAAGATCAAGAACCACTGCATGCACAGCTACTTGTGCTTCACCAAGTTTAACAAAATCAGCTCGTTGTTCTTGTTCAAGGTTGCATCGATCAATGAATACACTTTTACCATCTTTGAGTGCAGCAGCTGCACTCATTAAACACTGTGACTTTGTTCCCTGTTTGCCATTTGCGATGGTATCCTATAAGAATAATAGTAAAGTTGTGAGGAAAAAAGGAGACAAGGTGAATACATGCATTTTTTAACATGAGGAATTGGATGCAATACTGTAAATTTCAAACGTCAAAATGAGTCTGAACAAGAATTTCCTTTAAGCAACATGAGCTAATTAGACCATATTTATTAGTCAAAGAAGAACAGAAGTAACAACCAAGAAAGAGAGTCCATAAACAACTCAAACTAAAGTATCTTTACCGAGGTTTCCAAAGAAACCAACCTCTCAACCTAGTAGGTCAAATATTTCATCTAATGGTATAAAAGATGGTTCAAATAAGAACATAAATACTTAGAGGAAAAGATGCACTTAGTTTATACCCAGAATAACCACTATAATAATAGAAAATTGACACAAGAGGATACCATAAAATTAAATAAATCGAATTTTCATTTACCTTCCCATCTCAAGGAACAAAAACTAAGACTGAAAGGTTCAAACAAATACCTAAACAGGAAATTGTCAGGAGTTAAGTTAAACAATCATCTCACTTAGAAATCACCATTGCACGAGACTTCAAGGTTCAATCAAATATCTAAACAGGAAGTAGAAATAAAGAAAAAAGTTTATAATCCACATTGTTAACTCTTGCATGCAACAAAGATAGAAACAACACAGAAACCTACCTGCAATCTGATGTGTGCATTATCAAATTCATTCTTGAGCTATGTTGGAAGAAACAAATACGACCAAAATGTGAAATTCTGAGATATATGACTATGCATCAAATAATTATCAATCTGACATAAGCAATACTCATGTCATCAACGAAAGAGATATTGAACCCTGAGCATCAGAAGAAGTGTTCGAATAACAAAACCAGCTATGACAAGACGAATTAGAATGCAGCTCACGTCATGAAGGATGTACTGGAATCAAACACATTATACATTTCACATCCAGAGCCTAGATCAAATGTACAACTTGAATCGTTACTTAGGCCAATAAGTACACGGCAAGACACTTCATTTCTCCCTAAAATCGAAGTCACCCTACGCAAAGGAAACAACTTTATTGAATCCAAGATACACCAAACTCTGCAAGAGAAGCTGAGGAATATGACAACAACAAATAGAATTCAGAGCCACCGCTTCCAACGAATCCTAAGATCAGTCGAGGCTCATCCTGCTGTTTCGCATGCAACGGAGAGTACAAAAGCAAGCAATCGGATTTCGAAAACGAAGGCTTTACGCGACAATTAGGTCGCACGAATCCATCGATAGAGGGGAAACAGCAAAAAGGGGGCCGACCTGGCAAACGCGGACCCAGGGGCGGCGGGCGGCGGCCATGACGTCGTTGCAGAAGGTGGACTTCCCGCTGCCGGGGGCGCCCACGAGGAGGACAACGAGGCCCTTCTTCGCCTCTTCCCCGCCTCCAGCGGACGAAGGGTCATGGGGGTTTGGGTCGTTCTCCATCTCCCTCGACGAGGGTTTCAAGACGAAGCAAAAGAGAGACAAATGATGGTCGGATTTGTATCGAATATTAGAATTTAAATATCATTGATAACAAAATTATATTTATATATATATATATATATATGATGAATTTTCAGTAAAACGCTAACTTTCGATTTTTTTTTCTGTAAAACATATGAAGTTTGAAAATTATTTATAAAGTATTTTTTTTTAATGATCATTTATCTCTATCGATCACTATCCTTCGTTACACCTTTGTTTGTGCTTGGTCATGCCTCTGTTGTCTCCCTCCCCACTTATGTCTTCGTGTGTACACTAATAATACCAACTATCATCCTCCCTTCTTATTATCTACACCTCCACGTGCGAGTTTGCTTTACTAGTTGTCCCTTCCTCCTCTCCTCTTTATTGGTCTTTTGCACTTCAATGCTGGCATTCATCCCCCTCTCATAATCGCCTACACCTCCACGCGAAGGTTAATGGGTCATGTGATTAGGTGTGGGCGAAGACATGATTAGAGTTAGGGCTATGATGAAAAAATTTTAAAGTTATGGGAGCAAAATAATTTTGTTATCAATCGAAGGTGGGTGCTTTATTAGAATTTTTTAAATTTACGATGCTCTTAGGTGTGGGCAAAGACATGATTAGGGTTAGGGCTACGATGAAAAATTTTTAAAGTCGTGGGAGCAAAATAATTTTATTATCAATAGGAGTGGGTGCTTTGTTAGAATTTTTTAAATTTACGATACTCTTAGAAAAATCCAAATTAACATATATATATATATATATATATATTATATATATATATATAACACTGTTGTTCTGCCATATATATCGTTATATATACATAAAATAAAATGGTGTGCCAAAAAGACTCAAAATGTGGCTGCTGGGATTCGAGCCCAGGTCTCTACGGCCACAACGTAGAATTCTTACCACTAAACTACAGCCACTTGATGTGATCACCTTGTACCAAAATTATACTTTTAGAAACTTAAACTTTCACAGAACCCTTGACGGTCGTTTTGACAGAAAGATGTTCTTGGTTTCGAACACTTTAGCCTCAAGTAGAAGACAGAAAATTGAAGGCCTCCATACAGCATATTTTACAACAAAAAAAATCTATGCTCATGAAAGTCACAACACTATTCAAACATAGTGTTTGAGGTAATTCGGTCTAACAAAGGAGATGGCGAACTGAGGTTGGTTCATAATATAGTTTTGACAGATCCAAATAACTGAAGCTAAGAACAGGGGATTGTTGAAGAGAATTGAAGAATTAAAAGATGACCATGTGTCCGAAGGAAGGAAGATATCATGGCTGAAATTAGGGCACGTTAGCGCATGCCCTTTTTATTATTGTCATTATCATGGAGATATTAACGCTAACTAGTTCGAGTGAGTCCCGTGATGAACTTTGTTATATGGAGGTATGATTTAGAATTGTTGAGAGCAAGGATTATGAATTTAAGAAGTAAATATCATGGTATCGCAAAGGTCGGTATTTTGTATGTGTACTGAATTTTGTATCGAATGAAATCTTTGATCGTCAATGTATGAGGTAGTGTATCTTTGATGAATAATTTTGAATGCAAGTATCGATGAGTTCCGTTAGAGACTTGGTTATATAGAGATATGATCAAGACAATTGAAGAGTTGGATTGCTCTGGAGCTCATTTTCGCTCAAGAAAACTTGACAAGTTAAATGACAAAATCGAATAAGTGAATATTGCTATCAACAATGCAAATGTAAAGGAGAATAGATCAATATAAGCCCTATAATATGATAGCGGAGGCTATAGATAAAAAGTACAGTATATCTTTTTATCGATCTTGGCAAATATAAAGGTGTTAAAGTAGGTGGTCGAAAGGGGTGATGAAGCAAGGATACAGCCAGAGGGACTTAGTTGTCCAAAACTAAGCATTATAATGGGAGTGGACTCGAAGGAGGTCCACAATCCCATTGGGGCGGATGTACTGAGCATAAAAAAAAGAGAAACATATACGAGGTGATGGATAATGGGGTCATGAGCATAGAAGCAATATAGTATCATAGAAGCAGGACTTTCGTAGAGTTATTGAACTTTTATTCTCATGGGGTCATTGATCTTTTACTCTCATAATCGATCTTAAATAATTGAGATTCACAATTTTATAGTTGTTATGTTTTCGATGGTAGCGAATGATGACGTCACTGAGGGTCACGGGTGGCTATTGTAGATGAGGAAGAAGAGTGACAACGAAACGCGAGGCAATAAATATAGATGCCAACACTCAACATCTATATCAGTATCGCTCAGTAACTGCATCGACGTCGTTATTGATGTAGAGCGACGAAAGGGTCACTCGACATTTGCATCGATATCGACATATATGAAAAGTGGCATCGACATAGATGTTGAGCAGTGTCGCTCGCTCAACATCTATATCGATGCCAATGCAGATGTAGATGTAGAGTAGTGCCGCTTTGCATCTACATCGGCATCGACAATGATGTGAGGAAAGATGATGCTACTCTGCATTTATGTTAACACCGATGCAAATGCCAAGTAACTCTTTTACTACTTTATATCTACATCGGCACCGACACAGTTGCCAAGCGAAACCAACGCAAATGTAGAAAGTCGACATTTATGTCATCGCCTCACCTCTTATTGTCGTTCTCTTTTCTCATCTACAATAGTCACTTGCGACCACCAATAATGTTATCGTCCGTCATCATAAAAAATATAATCGAAATATTGAAATTATCTTTTTATCTATCATTTTTATGCTTATATCTATAAAATCAATGACGTTAGGATAAATAGAACTAGATGTTTTATTTTCATAATTATAAAAATTTTAATATAAATTTTTAAGTACGAGAATAGGGATCCTAGAGAGGTCTAATTACATAAATAATTAGCCCGATCTCGTTCCTCGTTTGTGTTGAAAGGTCTTACTACTATCCTTTGCATCATATCTGGTGGGTGTTGACGCCGAGCTCCTTGAGGAGGGGTGGCTCGTCCTCGAACGAGCCGGAGGCGGAGAGCGCCGCGCCGCTGGTGGAGGCGAAGGCGGGGGCGGAGAAGGAGGACGAGGCCACTACGGATCCGATATCCATGGATATGAAGGGGATGCTAGTGTTGGCGGGGCCGGGTTTCGAGGGGCGAGGACGCTGGAAGGGCGGAGCCCGGCGCTCGTGGGGAACGTTGGCGTTCCCGGCGGAGGAGGGGAATACCACCGGCGAGACGGAGAACTTCTTCGCCGTCACGGCAATCGGTTGGAATCGGCTGAGTCGGGACTCGGAGACACGGAGACTCGGGGAATCGGGTTTCTGCCCCGCGCTGGCTCATCTCATTTTTCCTGACCGCCTTTTAATTTATTTTGGTAATTTGATACCTATCTTTCTATCATACTCGTACATAAATATAATTAAAAATATCCAAACCTGATTTATATTTAATTATATACGTACCAATACTAAAACATAAATTTTAATACTATTTTTTAGGATAATAATATATTTTAAATTTTCTTATTAATTGCTTTCTTTATAAACAAAGATATAATATTTTATTTCCTCAATAATTAATTAATTAATTATATATATATATATATATATATATATAGCAAAAGGAGAAACCACATTTTGGAAATGTTTAAATAGCACCTTATATTTTCATAATGCTAGTAGAAAGTATTTTTATATATATATATATATATATATATATATATATATATATCAATCGAATAAGCATACAACAGATGATTTTTTTTTTCTTCATTTTCTATGACTCATTAAAAAAAAAGCCACAAAAAAAATTAAAAAGTGTGATATTTTAGTTTAAAAAGAATGATATGTGCTTATAGTTGACACATTTGAGAAAATTTATCACACATCATGTGAGATGCTTGGTGTTAGTAAACAAAAGTATCGTGGCTGATGAGTCAGCACGGTTAGGTCCGGGGGTCGATGTCGGGAACTTGTGGTGGAATGAATAGGATGATGAGGTGGCTGTGCCCCTTGAGCGTCTCGGGCGAGGGTCGGACCACCAGGGTCGGTTGAGCCCTCGTGAGTGGGTGGGGGTTGGCGCTCCAAGACCTACCGACTTGAGTGTCGTTTGTGGGGAGTTGTATCTGTTGAATCTCGTATTTTAATGATGAAACCACTTGATATGTGTTTATAATTTAAACTGCATTTTGAGTGATGCAGGTTTACCCGATCAGGATTAGACAATTAACGCAGGAGGAATTGACGTTGCACCGGAGGAGATCACGTCAGGATATTGGACGGCAGAAGGCTTCGGACGTCGGGCATCGGGCCAAGGAGAGCGGAATTACGGCAAGGATATCGGGGTTGCGGAGGTCAATCGTCGATTGGGCAACAAGCCGCAAGAGAGGACGATGCGCTGAAGAATCAGACGAAGCGCCAACCAATGATGGGTCGGGCAATAGAATGTCAATTCGCGTTGTAAAAATTGTCTAGATCGGAGTAGAGTTTTTGCTTGTGTGTGCAGGATTAACTATAATAACGATGAAGACATAAAGCGAAACAAAGTGTCGAAGTCAAGCGCGAAGGATTTGTTGCGAGTTCGAGAGTTCGACGGAAGTCCGAAGGTTCGTCGGGAATGCTGCCGGAACTAACCAAGAATAAGTAGGGAGCTTGCCGAAGGGTTTTTCGGAAGCTCACCAGAAGGTTCGTTGGAAGTTTGCGGAGCTCGCTGAGAAAGATTGGAGCTTGCTGAAGAAGCTCGTTGGAACTCGCCAAGATCAAATCGTGAAGTCTAGGAGCTTACCGGGAGTCCGCAGAATGGTTTCCGAGAGTTTATCGGAAGACCGTCGGAAGTTCGTCGGAAGCTCGCCGGAAGAAGTCTTGACTTACAGACTTTGTAATAGCTTAGAAAATGTCTTTAAATTCGTAGTTAGCACGTTAATTAGGGTTAGGATTAGGTGTTAATCTTATAACCCAAGTAGGGGCCAATTGGGCCCGAGTTCGGACTGGTTTGGGCCAAGTTTGAAG